TCGAGATCGTAAGGCCCAGAGTAAAGTAGATAAAGAAGTAAAAGACCAATTGCCTAAAGAGATTAATGATACTACACATTGGAAACAAACAGAAAGAGCCCGAAAAATATATGAGCTTTTTATTGAAATTGGTATTGATAAAATGCAACAGATTAAATCTTATTCGGCACTAAAAATTTCAAAATTAAGTTGGAAGAGTATTAACTATATTACAAAGAACTTTAAATCATAAAATCATACATATACTGCGCCTTGTATAACTGTTACACAGCTGACCTCTGGGTCAGCGACTTTTATTTTATTTTTATTATTTCTACTATATATCGGGGAATGTTATAATAAATTTACATAAATTCGTTTTAAACAAAATAGCAGACCAAATTTCATATGTATAAGCTTATATATAAAAAAAATCGAAATAACAAACTTACAAATAAAAAAAGACAAAATCACTTTGAAAAGTGGCATATCTTTAGAGAGTGGAAGTATGGGTGTAAGGTTTGTGACGAATGCAATTATCATTCACACCTATATTGCAAAACGTGCAAAAAAGTAGTGAATGGAATATAAAAGTGATGTAATAATTTTCTAAGGTAGCTCCTTTAATTATTTGTATATAGATAGTTTATAAAAGCTACGCTATATACATTATACAAAAATTCAGGTATCACATAAATGTCACACTAAATTTGCGCTCAAGTTCTGCATGCAGAGGATTAAAGAGTTTGATACAATGTGATAAATCCTAAAACGGAGAAGAACTATGAACGACTTTACCAAAAGAATACGAGAAAACGAGGATGACAAATTCTGATATTGTTTATCTCTTTAACATCGAAATTTCATGATAGTGGAAAATTTTCAGTAAGTTCTTCCTTGCTTCGCTGCAAACACGTCTGTAATACAGCATGATTCAGCTAGTATCTCCCAATAACCTATTTGCATTTCTTTTACTCTATATGGCACAAATACTTCGAACGTGCATACTTCCAATGGAATATTTTGGAATTTCTGAAAGAATGTGAAGTGGAACCTTTCGACCGGAAGATATCATGTTATATTGCGTGTCTTGAAACTATAGCTAATATTGAAGAAGGATGCAGGCACGAAAGAGCACAATATTTGCTCGATCAATATAGAAAGGCGAGTATAAAAGTATTTTTTTGTTGAAAATACAGGCGGGAAATGGATGGCAAGGGATTCTCTGAGGTTTCTTGTTATTTGGCGGTATTGAGACACAGGAGACTCTCCGAGATCGACTGATATTCAAGGCTAAAAGCTAACTCAGTACCGGCCCTGTTGGAGCCCAAATGGTTCTTGAGGCTGTTTGACATTCAAGGCTATAAGCTGATCTGACAGTTGGGATTAGAATAATAGAGTTATAGGAAATCGGTTCAAAAATTAATTTTTTTTTTGTACTAGGGTCCTAAACCCGATTACAAAAGAGCAAGAAATTGGGAAAGAGAATGTGTTTATGGATCGATCTACCTCCACCAGCCAACATTCGTGGATAGAAATCTCAGTGGGACTGTGAATAATAGAACAATAGGAACTATAAATAAGATCGTTTCAGGATCTTCAAAAAGAGAGGTTCAAGTTCCCGATAATCAGGTACACAAATTTTTTTTTACTATAACTATCATTTTGTATTCGTTTCTAATAAAACTATAATCTTAATCTTTAGGATAATAATAAAGTCCCAAAGCAGATGAGAATTAATGATTATTTCTCTGTTCATTAGTGAGATCAACAACCAAGAACTCCCGAACACCAAATATATCTGTCAATATATCTGTCAGGTTTTGGGCTCCCTTGTGTTCAAAAAGTAATTACAATCAGGTCGAAAAATGTCTTTTATAACTTTCTTTGACAAATACATAACATATGAACAAACTATGACAGAACAATATCGAGAATTCGTATGATATGCGATTTTATAAAGATATTAACATTAACGAAGACATCTATGTAGATGAAATACATTTGTCTCAGGAGGTAACAATGCTTATTTATTACTTTAGACAAAGTGGAAAATAAGACACAGG